AGTTTACATTAAGTATGGAATTTATTTGTAGGCTTTATTAGTGTGTAATATATTTTGGTTAACGGTACTATTATATAAACGCATAACATGAAAAATAAGAGCGATTATTTCGTTTGCATTACTCATTTTAATTTTTTTTGTTTGTTTTTTTGCAGATTGTTATTTCCCTATTGACAATATAATGATGTCATTATTAAGATAAATGTGGTTGCTATTACACGTGCATAACAATTCGGTTTAAAGCGAATAGATTAGTTTGAAGTATTAATTGCTATACTTAATGGCAAATAAACCGAAGGCAAAACCTTAAAGCTGGTTGGATTATACGTTTGTACCGATCACGATTTTCTCATCAATTGTGTAAATTAATAAATAAATAATAAAGATAAATACAATAAATATTATAATACAACAATTTATATATTTTTAAATATAAATTTATATATTTGCTTTAATAAATAGTAATAGCAATAACAGGTTTTTTATATAAGCATAATTATTAATACATATATATGTTGTGCCTCAGATGCATCCTTGCGTCGGATGCAATCCGACGCACGTCAGATGCCGATTTTCAGGTGACGCGCGTCACCTGTCGATCGGTCACCTGACGTGCGTCAGCTGTAATCTGACGCAAGATCTTTAAAATTTTCAAAAAATATAATAATGTCATTACGAAAGATGTAGTAATAACGTCATTACGAATAAGAGCATAAAAAGCCTTTTTGCTCTTATCTTGATTTTTTTTTTTTGTATGATGGTTTGTTTTACCTTTAACGGCTGGCATACTTTTTTTTTTATTTCTTGTTGGTTGGTTGGTTCTTGGTTCCACGTTGCCTTAATTCTTGGTGCCCACTAAAACATTAGACGTTGGATTCATTCTTGGTGCCCACTAATATATTGGACATTAGGTTTGTTCTTTGTGCCCACTAATAATACATTGGATGTTGTGCCCACTAATAATACATTGGACGTTGGATTCATTCTTGGTGCCTACTAATATATTTGACATTGGATTAATTCTTGGTGCCCACTAATACATTGGACGTTGGATTCTTGTTGCCTACTAATATATTGGACGTTGAATTCATTCTTGGTTCCCACTAATATATTGGATGTTGGGTTTGTTCTTGGTATAATAATACATTGGACGTTGGATTCATTCTTGGTTCCCACTAATATATTGGACGTTGGGTTTGTTCTTGGTGCTCACTAATACATTGGACGTTGGATTCATTCTTGGTGCCCACTAATATATTGGACGTTGGGTTTGTTCTTGGTGCCCACTAATACATTGGACGTTAGGTTTGTTCTTTGTGCCCACTAATAATACATTGGACGTTGGATTAATTCTTGGTTCCCATTAATATATTGGACGTTGGATTCATTCTTGGTGCCCACTAATACATTGGACATTG